TAATACTATTAAAACTAAATCATGCTACTCAGTATTTACAATAATAGCTATCTTTTGCTAAGTGTATGTGCACCAAGTGCTAAGCATTTCACCTGCATTTTTGTCATGTCATCTCTACCACTAACATAAGAGGAAGGTGTAAGCCTGACTTTACTGACGATTTAAGCTTAGGCTCAGAGAAGTAATCTGTCACAATCATAAAGGAATATAAATGCCTGAGCCAAGATTCAAACTCCCATGTAGTTCCAAAGTCCATGATCTTGTCAAAAAGGAATTAGAGTTGTTTGATTTTCCTCCCCAGAATTACCTAGGCACTTAAAAATCAATTTTATGATCAATGAAATGCTTAGCATGATGAACTAGAAACACTGACTAGACTTAGAAGACCTACCATCCATATTGAGCTTTCCAGTGAGTCTATAAAAGAGGCATTTAACTATATATACCAAGTTGATCTGTCTAATGAGATAAATGAACTGGAATAATCCCCAAGGTCCCTATAACATTCCACAGGTCAGCAGGCTCCTCTCCCTTAGACTGGATGTTCCATCCAACATACAGCCTTCAGAAGGGTGAGGAAATAAATTTCTGTTATTTGAGCCACCCAGTCTGAACGGAAGCCGGAGCAAATTAATACAATAGGTATCAGGATACCTACTAACTGAACAAGTCTGCCTCAAGCTTAAGAATAAGAAAAGAGAATCCTTGTGCACTCTTGATGGGAATGCAAATTGGTGCAGTCACTATGGAAAGCAGTGTAGAGATTCCTTACAAAACTAAAAAATGAGATTATAAAAGGACAGAGCAAAGAACTGTGTCTAGTACACAGTATGTGATTAATAAATTATAATAGTTGTTATTAGGGTGAATCACTTGAAATGGCTGGTACTTGATTACTTTTGTTCTATCAAATGGCAATTCCACACAGTTTAACCTAATGTTAATGTTGCAAAGAGGCAGAGGCCGCAATGGTTAAGAATATAAATTCTAGTACCAGTATGTTTGGGTTAGAGTCTTACCTACCTCGGTCACTCACTANTTGAAATGGCTGGTACTTGATTACTTTTGTTCTATCAAATGGCAATTCCATACAGTTTAACCTAATGTTAATGTTGCAAAGAGGCAGAGGCCACAATGGCTAAGAATATAAATTCTAGTACCAGTATGTTTGGGTTAGAGTCCTACCTACCTCGGTCACTCACTAGNAGTATGTTTGGGTTAGAGTCTTACCTACCTCGGTCACTCACTAGCAAGATACAAAACTTCTCTAATTCAGTTTCTTAGCTGCAAAAGTAAAAATATCTACTCCATAGGATGGATGAAAAAAATTAAATAAATTAATCAACACAAAACTCTTAGATTAATGCCTGATACTTAGTCCTCAATGAATGCAATCTGTTATTGATATTATTAATGAAATGAAGGAGGTATATTTGAAAATCTCTGAAATTAGTTCCAGCACCCAATTCTATGCTGTTTTGGATGGTGTTAATAAAAGAGAATTATAAAGTGGCCATTTAGCTCTATAAAAGCTAAAATATTGTGGAATGAGGAATCATTTAAATAAAAATGTCTCATAATCCCTTAACAATTTGTCTGAGACAAGTCAAACAACTGGAATGCTGAAAATGTGTTATCTTAGGGAGAAATCAATAATTTTCCTTAACTTCTTAAGTTTCTAAACATCTTTAAATAGCATTCCACATAAGATGAAAAGCTAGAGGTCTATTAAGTGTGGAGTTTAATATGTTCCTGCATAGGGTCATAGAGTTGTTCGTTATAACAGGCTAACTATTGAACTGGCAGGATCGACGGATCAGAACGGTAACAAACCCACTAACTCAGTGGGTGATAGTAAGCAAATCACTTCAACCTCATTTTTCTATTTGGGAAAATGAGGAAGAAGTCTAAGGTATCAAAGTTCTCTTCTAAATCTAAAATTCTATGAGTCTCTATTGTAAACAGATTAAGAATACAGTGATTGCATCAAAGTAATATAACCCATTTCCCCTGTCAATAAATAGGAAGTAAATTGTTCTCAAATAGCAAAATGTTAAAAATAAAAGGAAACAAAAAATATACTTAGTTAAAAATATCCCAAGTTAAAAACACAGTATTTTGTGTAATAAAAGGAAAAAAGTTAATAATCAAGCCTTTTCTGAAATTGACAGGAGGCATATATTCCTTCTCAGCAGAATTAAAGCTGCCTAGGCCAGCAGTGAAACCAATACCAACTTAAAATCCTAGGTCCACTGGTCCAGAGATTCAAGACTCTGACCTTAAGAAACTCACAGGAGATCAGATTTCTGTCTCAGAAATATGTTATGATATAACTCCTAGGACTCTTGAGAGGGTAAATTAGTTAATGTTTCTAAGTCACTTAAGGGATAATGATTGACCAGACAAAGACGATCACTGTGAAATCTGAAAACACAACAAAACACCCAATGCTCACTACATTTTTCTAATTAACCTAGGTATCTCAATAAGAGCTTAAAAAAAAAGATCTTCAAGATCATGTCATAGATCTAAAATAATAATTGTAAGACAAAGCAAAAAAAAAAAAAAAAAATTACATTCTCATCATGGCATCATAAGAACAACTAGGCTAAAACTGAACAGTCCATACACATATGTCAGTTTTGTGGAAAACATAAAACCAAGACACATTGAATCTGGTATCATGAAACTCATTCTCTTCTGAAATTAAAAAGTTTATATCAATTAAATGATATTCTTTAATTGTTAAACTATCAGAAATACAACTCAAACAGGTGAACATGAATGTGACGGTTTCTATAGACAGTGTCCTGTTAAATTGCTCTGACACTTCAAAAAATTTAAGAAACAAAACTTCTCAGAGTTGGTGACAACACATTAGTACTTTCCATTAAAGTACAAGCAACTACATTTTCCAATACTTGAAAATAATCGAATCAAAAACAGATTTCATGTTAAGTAATCAATGGAGTCCTTAATTTAAAAAGTAATGTTACCCCAATAAACTGAATTTTTAAAATAGTTGTTATGGGAAGATGGAGGAAGTTATTGTTTGGTTGGTTTGGATGTTGTTTTGACTTCCCTCAAAAGACTTTTTTTCCCTCTTAGATAATTTTAAGATTCCAATATTCACAGCATGTCATAATTAAACATCTTCTAGGAAGTCTGATTAGCACATTAACTCAAGCATAAACCAGCTGTGCCGGTGTTGCCTCCAGGTCTGGATCAAACCAGTCTGGGAAACAATCATGAAGAAAACTCCTACTAAGACATATTAACTCCAACATTATTTTACCTTCCATCATTTAAGATCTTCTTTTCCCTGTCAGCTCTTATGCAATTTTTTTACTCCTTAATTTTGGTATGAGAACAGCCACCTAGCCTACTAGGAATAAAAATGGATACATCAGCTATGAAAATTAAATACCTTTACCTTCATTCTCAAAGGCTCCCACCACCGGATTAGGGAGAAGTCAGAGATGTTTTTATAGTTACATGCCAATAATTAGAGCCCACAACTTCCCATCCAATATCAGCTCCTATTTTGAAGAGGGGGAGCAAGAGGGCTACCCATGCTCTGATGTCTTTTGATTGTACTGATTGGTGGCTAGTTGTTTGCTTTCAAGCAGAATAAGTGCATTTGGCCGTAAGGCGGGACTATCTTCCCCCACAGTCTACAATGTGCTGTCCAAAATAGTGGCCACTAGCCACACATGGCTCTCGAGCATGTAAAATGTATACAGAGCCACCAAGGGACTAGATTTTTAATTTTATAAGTTTTATAAACTTAAAATAAACTTAAAAGCTGACACTCACTTGTGTTATTGGAAAACTTTAAATATGTCTGGAACAACCTGGATATGTGAATCTACTGTATCATCCATAAAAGTTTCTGAAATCTAAACATAGGTCAAAGTATTTCTGATGAAAACTTAGTGACTGAATGGTGACATGCATAAGTGTAAAGCACATGCTATATTTCAAAGAATTAATAGGCCAAAAAATAATGTAAAATATCTCATTAAGAATTTTTTTTTAAAAGATGGATCACCTGGTGAACACTTCAATCTATTGTAATACTTTGGTTATATTATTTTAAATAAAATATATTACTAAAGTTAATGCCACTGGCTTCTGCTTACTTTTTAAATGTACTACCGGGAAATTTTAAATTACTTATGACTCATATTATATGTCTATTGGGTGGCACTAATAAAAAGTAATAATACTAACCAGTGACGTAAGTACCTGAGATGGGCCAGTGACGTAGTTTAGAAAATCTGTGTAGTAGGAGAAAAAAGCAAAAGGCCGGAAAGCAGTGCGTTCGAATCCAGCTCTGAGGGACTTGAGCAAGTCATTCTGCTTCCTTAGTCTATATTTCCCCGTGCGTAACATGGGAAGAATAGCTTACTGGCTTAAACAAGATATTTGCAAAGTGCCTGGCCTATCATCGGCCTAAATAAACCGTTGACGAAATAGTTGTTTTGCAGTAGATGGCAGAGATTTCAGACAACTACTAAGAACTAACTGCTTCTCAATGTCAATGACCACTGCGGCAGACACAGAGTTTGTGAGAAGGGGCAGTAAAAGGGAACACTGCAGAAATCCCTGGATGAGCTGATGGGCAGGGCAGGCTGAAGTCTCCATCAGCGAAAACTCCACGCCTGCCTGTCATCGCCGGTGCTCCTGCAGAAGCAGGTCCTTCAGGGCACTCAGCAGCTGACAAGAAGTAGCAGCTTCTCCCAGGCCCTCCTAGCCTCTTCTGAGGGCCTCACCCGCTTCACCCCAGCAGATATGACCCTCAGGGCTTAGAAGGGTCGGTCACTTTAACCCCGACGCGTATAAATGATAAATCGAGAAAACTTGACCACTTTAGGGATGCACAAATATTTCAGAGCGGACAACCAATGTTTCTCTCATGAATGGAAGGGCTGCCCAAGGACCTGTAGCAGGGTCTGCCCACATCAAACATTCCAGGAGGTCACCCAACTCCCACTTACCCCCAGCATCTGGTGGAGGTAGTGGTACTCTGGCCCTTGATTGTACTGCAGGAAGGTTTTCCAGAAAAGCAGGACGTTCAGGGAGAGCCAGATCAGCTAAATCATAGGAAAGGAGAGAGGAAAAAAAGTAAACATAAACATTACCTGAGGAATGGCAACCTTAAAGTACATCCCTTGGACACAATACTTTAATGGAACCCCAAGGCATTGAAGAAAGCAATCTGAGCACCCCTCCCAAAAAAAAACACAAAAACCCTCAGGTCGCTGTGCCCCTCAGGGGAAGCGTCTGGACCGTCAGCAGGTCCCCTGAAGGGTCTCAGACCTCCGTCGCTGCACAAACTGGGACTCAGACATCGGCGGCATCGCCACGTCCCCAGCGCCGTACACTGTTACAATGTAACACCAAGGAGAAGCAACCGGGGGAAAGGGCAGGGAAGGGCGGTGTTTAAAGGGTTAAGAGAAAGTCGCGTCTGTCCGAGCCCTTCTCCCGAGCTCCCCGTCCGCGCTCCCGGCAGCGGGAAAGTTCCCCGCACGGGCAGGAAGGGCGGGGTCGCTCTCATCCCCAGGTACGCGGGGCGCAAAGTTGGGAGAGCTGACAATGGTGAAATTCGGGGCAAAACTCCCACCTCCAGCGTCCCGCCCGCGCACGCTCAGGGCAGGGATCGAGATCTCTGCGCGAGGGACCCAGCGCGGGGACAGCCCGGCCCGCCATCCTACCAGGCAGAGGAGTTTGACCCCGTCGTTGTCCAGCCAGCTCCTCCAGGACACAGCCAT